CAAGCATAGCTTCCAATTCATGTAAGGTCCTGGTTCCCCTCAGTTTGGCACTAGTTAGGCCTCATCTTGAGTACTGTGCCCCGTTCTGGGCACCAAACTTCAAGAAAGATACAGACAAACTGGAAAAAAATTCAGAGGAGGGCAACACAGATGACCAGGGACTGGAAACAAAGCCCTGTGAGGAGAGATTGAAAGAACTTTTCAGTTACTTGAAAGGCTGTCACACAGGGGAGACCCAGAATCTCTTCTCAGTCAGAGTGTAGAACATGGAATTATGGGTTTAAGTTACAGGAAGCTGGACATGGGGAAAAACTTCCTGAGTGTTGGAGCAGTTCAGCAGTGGAGCCAATGACCTAGAGAAGTGGTGGGCTCTCCCACACCGGAGGCATTCAAGAGGCACTTGGACAGCCATCTGTTGGGGTGCTTTAATCTGGAGTCCAGCGCTGAGCAGGGGGCTGGACTTGATGGCCTTTTAGGCTCCTGCCAACCCAACTATTCTGTGATTCTGTGATGTTTCACAATTCTAGAGAGGGAAATTGCTCCTGGCATAGGGAATTCTATATATGGATGGACGCTGGCCTAGCAAGTGGCTTAACCGATCTCCTCCAACACTAAATTACTTCAAATGCCATTGAAGGATGTGGTCCCGTCCCATCCCCCCCCCCCCATGCAGCAGCAACAGCAGAGGGGAAGACTGCTCTTGAGCCAAGCTGGTCATCAATCCAAGCCGTGAAAAACATAACTCTGTTGGCTCTGTAACTTTAGCTCAGTCAGCTAAGTGCTAATTTGTTTTCCAGCTTCGGATGCTCTTTGCAGAGATACCATGGTGCCCCTTGGGCTGCCTTGTGGTAGTAAGTAACACCGGCTGGTTAGGAACATTCTCTTTGAGGCTTTTTGGGAGGCAGGGACATTGAAATGCAATTCACTAAGTAACTCTGGAGCTTGAATGAGGAGCACAAATACCTGACCAAGGTGCAAGAGGAATATTTTATCTGAAAACTTGGAGTTACCAACATGTTGCCAGCCTCATGAATAATTCTAAAGCATTGCTCCTCAACCTGGTGCCCACCAGACCTTTGCAACAGAATTCCCATTAACCCTGGACATTTGCCGAGATAGTCTAAAGCATCTGGAGAGTAGCAGGTCGAAGAAGACTCTTCTAAAACGTCATTCAATTTCCTAGGCATTGGCATCATTTTTATTTTATTTTTCAAATTCAGCCAATGTCACCTCTTTAGAAGGCGGCCATATTCAAGACTAAATGAATATTTCAGGAACTTTTTTAACCTTCTTTTACAAATGGCCAATGTTTTACAATAAATTCATTTATTAATTAATTTTTCTTTCAAAGGCTAATAAAAGAAAATACATACCAGGAGATAAAAGGAGAACAGTGGAAAAAGCAGAGTGGGGAGTGATAGTGCTTGTAGGGGATGATGGGGGAAGGGTTTCAGGAGCCTATAATAAGTAAACAAAGTACCTGCAGTGGTAACTAACTTCCATCCTGAATTTTGACATGACTGCACATGGTATAAACTCAATCCTAGAGAAGCCATGTTTCGAGTTAATCTGAAAGCAGAGCGCTCTCTCTCTCTCTCTGTGCGTGCGTGCGTGCGTGCGTGTGTGTCCGTCCGTGTGTGTCCCACCCAACCATTCTGCAGTGACAGAAATGGGTCCCCCTGGGTGGATCGGGTTATGCTAGTGGCATATTTGAAAAGGGATCCCAAGTGATGTGGGTGTATACAGGAACAATGCCACAGAAAGAAAATGCATCGTTTTTGTCAAAGTAATTATGTTACGAGAGCTGGAATTTCTGCACCTGCAGTGTCGGCTTAATCCTCCGGCCTCTGTGATCTTCCTGACCCCAGGACTGAGCATGCCTGCCCGCCTGCCTCCAGCCCCAGTGAGATCATCATGGCAAAGGTTCTCTCCCGCATCCTCCACGGTCCAAGGATCAGGGTTACATCTCTCAGTGTTCCCAGAGCAGTGGCTAAAAATAGCTGCTGCTGGTTTAGGGAAGCCTCTCCTGCTGCACAGAGGGGGAGACAGCCCTAGGCGAAGCACAGGCCAAGACACCTGGAGCCTCTACGCTGACCCTGCCATTCAGACCACTTGCCGTCAGTCACCAAAGGTGCAACCCTTTGCATGTTTAGAGGGGGAAATCCTCCCACTCACATTCCCAGGCAGTACGGTCCACTGGAAAATACCAGGAATTTAGCACTTTCTTTTCCATCTCAACATGCATAAGGATGTGCCCTAAGTGTGTTTATTCACAGCCAAAGATCTTCACAAAACAAAGCTCCATTTATTGCAAAAGAGAGGGAGATCCTGCATAAAGATGCAGACCAAGTCAATACAGCCATTCAGTTCATTCAGTTCTGGCGGCAAGAGGTTTCAGGACAGGTCATGGCATAGCCATCTTATTATCAGACTATAAATTCATCCCAGCCTCTCCATCTTCCCCAGGCAGGTCAAGCAGGAGTGCTTTTATTGATTTGATTGCTTCTTGGAGTCCTGAACTGAGCAGCGGGGTGGACACCATGGGTCTCTGGCCCCTTCCAGCTCTACTGTTCTACCATTGATTTGTATGGTTCTCTGTTCACATACAAATTCCACCTGCATGATAAACCAGGAATTAAAGCAAAGCGGAAATCCTAAACAGACTTACTTGAAAGTCAGTTAAGTCCATCAAAACCAGTAGGACTTACTTCTGAGCAAAATGGTTAAGGATGGGAACAATAACATGCAATAGAGTGTTATTTCTCTTTCAGAAATCTAACACACGGGACAAAGCTGGCTTTGCCGACAAAAGCTTTTTTGTTTGCACCATGCCTCTCTGTGGGTTTTTCTGGTGCTGCTATTTTTGGACCAACTGAAAGCAGGCCCTGTTTTCGGAAGCACGTGGCTTTGCTAAACACTATTAGCATACCTGACAACTATTGGCAGAAAGTAAATATGTGCGCTTGTGTCAAGAAAGCCATGTGGCAATCCAATCTCACATTTAACCTCACACATGGCAGCTGTATTCAGACTCCCCAGAAAAGTCAACAGAGACACGGCTGGGCTGAGCAACCAAGGAGTACCGCCAACTTCTCCTCGGCATCGAAGGCAAATGCCTACAGCTTCCTGTATCTGTGGATACTTCCATGTAGTGAACCTCTATGGATATACAAAGCTCCCTGCTGCAGAGTTCAGTTCACCATGGTTGTGTGAATGGACCCAAGGAGGTATAATCTCAGGGCTGGGGAGAATGTGCAGCCTGCAGCTCAGTTCTAACCCTCCCAAAGACATTCCAAAAATGTAGGCAGCTTGTTGATCCATACCAACAAAGCAGTTTTGGTTCCACCTGAAACAGGGCTTTTGTAATGTAATGGATATCAAATGCCCACTCAAAATCAAGCCACCTCATATTACAACAGGAACAATATACTGTTGGTGGGAACACTCATTCCCCCTGCAAGCTCTTGAGCTGGTTCACACAACCATTTTCAGCTTAAATAAGTCAATAAGTCACTGTGGTTTGTAGCACATGCCATCCTGTTCCCCAGCCTCTGCTCGTTGGTTGTTGTGTCAGCTGAACCTGGCAAGGGTGAGTTGTTGGCATGATTAACAAACCACTCACAAGCCTAAAACAACCCACGACTTCTGGGCAGTTTATTAACCACACTAACAGCCCACTTACACCAGGTTCAGATGAAATAAAAAATGGGCAGGAATTCTGTTACAGAATGGCATGCACCTCTGTGGCTTAGTTAAGCCACCGTGGCTGAAAGGATCATGCAAACCCACCCACTGTGAGAAGTAATAGGGAAGAGCCAAGAGGGAAGAGGGAATTCTGAGGGGACATCAGATGGCATCTGCACCCCTCCCTGCTAAGATTAGTGCCATCTTGTGTCCCGGCAAGCTCTGGCCTCACTCATCGATTTTTTCCATTCCATGAATAGCACCTGAGCTGGATTCTGGCTTCTCAGGCATTTATCGTCACCGTTAACGTCTCCACCTTCTTTCTTTGAATTCGGATACTTCTGTTTGCACCCATAACTGCCTTCTCTCTGGTTCATGAAAGCAGACTTCCAGGCACTCTTTCACTGTTTCTGTCTCCGGGGGTGCTGCAGAGTTGGGCGTAGGGCTTTGAGCAGTCCTCCTCACGATGCGCGTTTTACATTAGCTGAATTAAAAGTTCATGTTGTGGTGGGAAGCAAGCTAAAGGATTTGTGCAGAAGTTAAATTTTTAGAGGGCTTCTGAATAGGCATGACAGATTAATAATGACCTGCTGCTACAGTTTGGAAAGCCAGTTTTGGATATCATCTGCTTTTACGTGGTAAGTATTGCACCAAAGAATTTCTCCTCATGCCCCAAATAGTGCCTTTTCCAGAAGATGCTTCCAGGCCGAGGGCTCCTAGGCTTGGCATGCTGCATTTGTTCGTTCTTTTCCTTCTTATCAGATTTTCTAGGCTGAGGAAGAAGCTGGGGTTAAGGTAAGGCAAGGTCTCCCTCATCCCTCAATGACTTGCTTGAGGGGTCCTTCTGAAGAGGGAAGCATTAATGGGGAGGGGGTCCTGGAGATTTTCCGTGGCATGGCAGCACCGGCATGCTGAGGGACCCCACAGCAAAGCATTTGGGTGGGATCTCTCCAGAGATCTCTGGAGAGCTGCACTGACCACTCTCAGTTCTGGGTGGCCAGAGTGGCCTCCAGAGAGCCAGCCCGCCCAATGCCGTGGTCTGAGTGGTATTCAAGGTTGGATCCCAGGTTGCTGGCACTTCAGAACGTTGTTCCAACTTTGCTTGCTGCAGCTGCAGAGCAGCCAGCACAGCTTTCTAGAGCGCCTGGTGGAGCGCAGAGTCTTCCTGCTGGTGAGATCATCTTCCAGATAGGAACCATCTGCCTGTTCCGGATAGGATCCATTTGCAAGCTCTGATACTTGCCTTGGGAGCATTTGTGGATGTGAAAAGGCTGCATTCTCTTGCTGACTCCCACTTTCCCTTTGCAGTTGGGAAAATGTTTCCTCTTCTACGTTCCGATCACAGCAGAGAGCAGAATGCACCAGTCCATGCAATTGTGAAAGAGAAAACTGGAGGTGATGGTAAGTTGGGCTGGCTGCTTTCTAGACAGGGAAGGCTTTGCTACACTTGGGGTTAGGGTTGGTACCCCTGTATAAGGCATGTTCCATTCCTATGTCCCCCCGAGAGGCACCAGGTTTTGGGGTGGAGTTAAACATGAACTGGCCTTGAGTGCATGTATGTTTCCTCCATTTCCTGTATTAACACAAGCTCGGAAATGCTTAAAATACACAGAGTATCTTCATTACAGGAAGAATACAACAGATCACAGAATCTTAAACTACAATTTAAATGTCCTCTCAATTTAGAATTATGATAGCAAGGCATTAAAACATCAGTCATATGTGTTCACATGTCTTCATTCATAAGAGAAAAAAACCCTATGGCCTCTATAGTCAATGAAATATGAGGAGGGATGACAAACCAAATGATAAAGAAAGGAGAGCTTGGAGGCTACACCTCTCTGCATCGCTCATCCACCAAGGTTTAACTCTTGTGGATGCAGGTGAGATCTGAAAGCTGCGGGAAGGTACCCTAATACCCTACCCTTCATCTTATCCTTTTGATGCCTTCATTTGGGAGTAAAACTCCCTACATGTCTTCATCACTATTGTTCTGCTGTGTAGAATCCCATAGTCAGTCATTTTAATCCAAATTTGAATTCATTTCTCAGCTTGCTGCAGCTAACAAAAGGTTTCAGATCTTCTGGCTCCCTCTAAATTACTCTCATCTCTGCTGGAATATTTGCCAGACTCATATCTCCTTTTCCTGTGGCTATTGCCTAATCTTACCAAGACAGGAATTCCCTGTTAGCACTTTGCCTACTGTGATCCAGTCACTGCCTCTGCAACTCTACATGTCTCCTACTTTAGTATCAAAGGTCAACTCGATTCCTCTTGGCCATGCTCTCATCACATTTAGCAACTTTCAGGACCCATTCTGATGCTTGCCTCTTTACCTTGTGGCTCCTTTAAATACTGAATCATACCAAAGAGGCATAACTAAATCACACACACACAAGCCCTCTCTCCAAAACATCTGGTGACTCCAAGTCAGTAGAACTTATCTATGCCAGCGTTTATTCTGACCATCATAGGAGCTATCCATGATGCTAACTCCACCTTCAGAAGAGGTTCACTATTACAGAACATTATGAATAGCTTCTATAGCGTTGAGAATAACAGCTGCAGTGGATTAGTATCCCCACCAATACAGGAGACTTCAGTCTCCTCTGTGTCTAGGTCTTAATGTCTTTGCCAGAAGGCAAGGTTCATTTCTCAGCCTGCTACAGCTAACAAAAGATCTTGAAACTCATATGCTAGGAACAAGGCAGACATGCTGGAAATTCTGATGGACCCTGATCCTAAAATAAAGGGCAGGAGCAGGGGAAGGCAGACCAGTTCAAGTACTTGGCTCCTCAAGGGATCCCCGATGCAGATTCTAGCCAAAGGGAGGGTGCATTGTATGCCCCTCAGCTCCTAAAGGTGAAGTGCAATTCTAAAGACAGCTACTAGGGAGAAAGCCCTGGCTGAGTGTAAGTGGAGCCACTTCCACATGAACACGTGCAAAGGACTGTGCTCTCCATTTATGAGTTGCAGGATTTTATTTATAACCTGCAGGTAGGCTTGGATGCAGAAACTGGCTCTGCCAATGGAAGGACACTACCTGTGGAATGGGGTTTCCTCATCTTCTTTTCCTCACTGTAGTCCCTTGCGTGCCCCCAAATGCTCTCCAGTGGACTGGGAACTCCTCTGGGGATTTGGAGGGGCATCAGAAGAAGGAGAGGGCATGGAAGTCCCTTTCTGCAAGCAGATTCCTTCCAGCTCTGGCAGAATGCAACCCACACTGTGCATTTAAGCACTGTGACCATGCAACACATGACTTATAAGCCTTGTCATGGGTGGCTTGTCATGTGGTTGAGACAATAAACCATGCTGCTGGACAGGATGAGCCACCCACAGCTTATAAGCCACCGTGACTTAACATGTTGTGTGAATCTAGTCACTGAATTGCATCTAATGTCCATCCTACTTAGAATCCTTCTTAGAGAGGGCCAGTTGAAATGAATGGAACATAACTGGAGAGCCAGTGTGGGGTAGTGGTTAAGAGCCTGGGACTGGGACTCATACGATCTGGGTTCTAGTCCCCACTCAGCCATGGAGCCAACTGGGTGACTTTGGGCCAGTCACAGACTCTCAGCCCAACCTACCTCACAGGGTTGTTGTTGTGGGGATAAGATGGAGGAGGAGAATGATGTAAGCTGGTAGGAAAAAGGCAGAATATAAATCAATCAATCAATCAATCAATCAATAAAATAACTGAGTCACTTAAGTCTCCTCCTTACGATTGGTCTTTTCCAAATAGGGCTAATATCACACACACCCCATAAACTCATGCTGTCATAGACTGCCCCTTGACCTTACCTAGGGTGCGATTCTGCACCCACTGACCTGGGACTAATCCCTTCTGAATATCGTGGGGCTCACTTGTGGGTAGACACTCATGGGTTTGCACTGCCTCTCTGGAACCTGCCCTCGGGCACACGATAAAGCCAGTTGGTCCTCATTTTCCCCCTGCTCTTGTGCGTGTGTGTGTGTCTGCTCAGCTCCGCAGCTCGACTTGGGGAAGAAGGTCAGTGTCCCCCAGGATCTGATGATGGAGGAGCTCTCCCTGCCGATCAACAGGGGCTCCAGGCTGTACCAGCAGAGGCAGAAGAGGGTGCAGCGCTTTGTGCTGGAGCACCCCACAGGCTACAGAGCTGTGAGTCGCTTGGGACGCTCTTGTGTTGGAAGCTGGCAGTGTATTTTAAATGCACCTGGAGGACTAGTCTCTTGTGATTTTTGTCCTAGCTATGTTTGCTATGTATGGGTATAAAGCTGTAGGATGTGATGTATTTTAGGGAGCCCTGGGGAAGCGCTGGGCAAGCAGGCACAAGATGGTCACACACTGGCACCTGTCCGATCCTGTATCCAGTTTCTTGTTTTTTGGAGCGGATCCAAGGCCAGCTCTGCTATTCTGGCACGTGAGGCAGGAAATCCCACAGCCACCTCTCCCTCAGACTGGCAGTTAGAATCACAACAAATGAAATGACTAACGATTTGCCACCTTTTTCTGACACCCACATCTGCTGCTGAAGTGGCCCCCTAACTCAGCCTCATGGGAGGGCTAACCCTGGAAGCTGAGCTTTCAGGGTGACTCTTCCCCAGCCAAGAGGCTGGGGGGTTGCGGGTTGCTGACCACCCCAAGCTATGTGGCCATCGCTTTGCTTGAAGTATCATGGAGGATGGTGCGTGGGTTTTCTTTTTATCACGCTTCAGCAAGGACCTCCTGGTCCTCCTCCCCTCCATTCCCCTTTTTCTAAAAAAAAAAAAGTGCATTGCCTTTTCTTGCCCCAGAGGCTCCTAGGGCTGTCCAAGGAACATCAATTAAAAGCAATGAACTGCCAGTAAGAATGTGAAAAACAAGCAACAGCACTGTGGGGTGGTAAATGTTGACATCCATGAGCTCATCTTGGCAGGGATCTTGCTAGGCAGGGTCCCAGGTTCATGACCGTCCACTGATGCCAATGGAAGACTAATTGCATAATGGGGGGGGGGGGATTATCCAACAGGAAGGAAAGAGGAAGAAGTGAGAGGAGGAAATGGGAGCAGAACAGCAAAAAATTGAAAGTTACTTGTAATGGAAATGACGTGGGTTCCAAATTTTTAAAAATGAAGTTATTCTTAAAAATTCAGAAATTATCTGAATAAGAAGTTAATTGCCTGAATTTGCTATCTCTCAAATTTAAATAAGCTCTGGTAATTATTTTACAATTTACATATTTAGATTGAACTTAGCATATCTATTCTATTTGCAGGTTTGTGTCCTATAGGTCTGGGGCCCAAATACATGCGCACACAGTTTTCCAAGAATGGGTTTAGTTGTGCACTGCATGGACACAATGCAGACTGCCAGCTTACAGTCATAGCCTACCCATGAACTCAAGCTAGTCAGTCAAACAACTACTTTATCTCTGTTCAAATATTCTTGGATAGCAGAATAAAACAAAACATCTAGTCAGCAGTTTACAGTGCAAACCATGCCAGCCTTCCTCAACAGGGTGCCCTCCGGATGCATTAAACTACCACTTCCATCCCCCTCAGCCACCTTAGCTGATGACTGGGGTGACAGGAAATCCAGACCATAATACCTGGAGGACCCCAGGCCGGGGAAGAGTTCTGGGGCTTGCTTTCTCTCTTGCTCAGGAAATGCTAATACTGAGGAATGAAAGCAGCATGCTTCCCACCCGGGGACAAAACTTCCCCAATTTCTAATTCGTGAGAATGATAATGGAAAAGAGCCTTGGTGTGGTGACTTCTGGTCTTCTTCATGTGGAATCAAAGTGTTAAGGCGAAATGCACGTCTGAAGGAAATCAGATTTTAGCTCACACCTAAAACAGTTGAACAACTTGATGTATTTGAAGCTGGAGCAAATCTAATCACCCTGCGTTATCTTGGAGGCCATTCAGATCTTCTCTTCTGGTCTTAAACTGGTTTAAACTTAAAGCAACTGGCTGATGAGTATTCCTTTTGGTTTGATGGAAAACACTTCTGACAAAACACACCCCCTCTTCAAAATGGGCTCAAAAGCAAGACCACCTCATTCACTTTAGAAATATGAATACAGCGCAGGGCCATAATCATGAGCTTGTGCTGTAGAAGGTCTTGAGCCAAGTTCAGTGGCAGGCCTGGTTAGCTTGACAACCATTCAGCACAACCTCCTGAAGGCCCTCTGTGTCCATGCCAGGGTTTCATGCATTCTCCTTGTTCCACTTGTAGGCCTTGAACAGGATCTCTGGAGCAGGAGGAGATTCCCATGGGATGCACAACGGGGAAGCGGCAGAAGGATGGATGGTTAGTGGCTGTTGCGTGGAAGGGGCGGGGTGGTTCTGCTTGTTTGCGTTGGCGTGCAGGGCCCATGATACTCTGCAGGAGGTGAGGCAATAGGAGAGCCCGGCTGGATCAGCTCAAGGGCCACCTAGCCCAGCATTCTCTTCACACGGTGGCCAAGCAGCTGCCCACAGGAGGGACGTGGGTGTAACCGCAGTCGGCTGCCCTGCTGCTCGAGGCCTGCTGCCACTGCTGCTCGAGTTGGCAGCTGCCATCAGGACTAGCAGCCACGAATGGCCTTCTCCTGCTCCTCTCCTCTGCTCTCTGGAGAAGGCTCAGTGATACAGGGAAGCAGCATAAGGCTTCCATGTGGAGTTGGCTGCCACAGCAACCTGTTTGGTTAATCCTGGAGTAGCTTCACTGATTATTTTCCTTGTGATGCTATAACTGTCCTCGTACATAAACCTCCGTGCCCCAGAAAACATGCCCTTAATCTGCTCATCCTTTTGTTTAACTTTCTTTAATACTGACATGGGAATAAAGATAAACTGCTTACTGCCCCAGTGGTTGCTGATGCTGATCTGCATTCAAAATCCTGCTCAGCTCAAAAATGAAACTAATTTATTGCTTTCTTCTGACCTGCATGTACATTGGTGGAACAGGCATATTCAAGGAATCCTGCAAACTGTAGTTCTGTGAGGCAAGGAGAGGCTTTGCAGCAAAGCAGTCTCAGCACATCATCATCCTACAGTTCCCATGGTTCTTTGGGGGAAGCCAATTTAGGATGGCCACATGTCCTACTTTATAGAGAGGTCTCAGAGGACAGTCCTCTATCTGTAAGCATTTTCTGAAGGCCTGTCCAGTCTAAGTCTGGGTTTAAAGGAAAGAAACAAGGAGAAACAGGGACTGAATTGTCCCTCAGCCTTTAGCACCTGGAGAGCAGACTGGACAGGCAGGTACACTGGTCACAGTCCATCCAACTATGGTGAGATGCACTGTAGTTCCACTTAAAGTATGGTAATTAATTTGCATGAACACATAAAAATTAAATCATGGAGACTTTATGCTGATCTGTCTTTTTGTGCTTTTGGGGTGTACAATGGATTTTTTCTTTTTGGGTGATACATGACTATAACATATAAAGTAGTGTCAAAGAATATAAGCCTGTGATGCAGGTAAGGTCGACATTTGAGTTGCAGGAGGCAAGGGAAAGCAGTCTGGGGGTCTGTAGCCAGGCAAGATTGGGACAGTGGGAGGCACAAATTCAGTTTCAGAATGAGATCCAACTGCAGATGTATTTGCAGTGCTCTTGGAAAGGAGCAACTCTGCTTATTTTGGGCAACCTTAAAATGCCCTTGCCTCTTCGAAGCCAAAAAGCAACTGCCCATCAAATGGCCAACTAGCTTCCTATTGCTGCCTTTTGTTATTCTGCTGTTTCTGGAAGATCCAGCCAGACCTCGATCACTAGAGGACAAGCAGAGAAGATCTCTTTGATGAGAGAAAATGTGTGCAACCTATATCTGTTTTGCTTTGTCTGCTAGTCTGTCCATAATGCAGAGAACATCCATGCGCAGCTGCAAGCGGCCGGCTTGGGAAAGGGGGCGCCCCCAAGAGTGCTGAAGAAAACAGATAAAGTCTTGAGGATGAGCAAAGCCCTGAATCCCGAATCACTTGCTCCAGGTAATAAGCTATCCACTGCAGGCTACACCAGCCTTCTCCACCTTGGTGACCTCTGGATGCTTTGGGCTTCCACTCACATCAGCCCCAGCCAGCATGGCCAATGGTCAGGGTTGCTGGAAGCTGCAGTCCAAAACTTTTGGAGGGCATCAAGTTGGGCAGGCTCTGGGCTACCCATCTCAAACTTGACCAGTCACTGCAAGAGCAAGAACCCCGGAAGGGTGGCTACTCACTTCCCCACACATCCCAGTAATGGCGATGGCAGTCATCCGAGCTACCCAGATTCCTCCCATTGGGCCCTTTATCCTATTATTTTATCTTCTGTTTCCACAAATATGTGCTGGGAACAGCAGGTGCTGCTTGCCGTCTAATCCCAGGTTCAGTCCTGAGGAAGCAGGCAGCTTTCAGTCTGATGGTCTAGAGCAAGAGCTGCAGTTTGCCTTCAAGGCCCCTGGACATGTCTAGCAAGACATCGCAAGAAAGCTTGCCCTTTCCTTGACAGCAGCCTGTTTGATGGAGAGGACAGCTGTGCTTTCCTTCCTTAGACACAGGCACACAAGGAGGTGGGCGGGCGGGCGGGCAGCCTCTCCATGCCTAAGTAAGGGCGTCAACTTGTCTTTGGCGGAAGCACCCTGTGTTGGTGGGACGAGTCCAGTGCTGCTCTTTTTGGAGACTGCACGCACACAGACCGGGGAACAGGGGTGTGCTTGCACAAGCGGAGGCATTTGAAAGACTGTTCCTTCTTTTCTCCAGGAAACTCGGAACGGACATGTGCACACTGCCCCAGCTTTTTTATTTTCTCAGTACCACACAATCCTAGAACAATGGGTCTCAGGAATAAGCAAATTTGTTAGGATCATTTTATCAAAATTTCTCATTATTCAAGTCTTAAGGATAGTTCATTCCAAACTTTTTGTTTTGTTTTTTACTTTTGGAGTGCATGTGAAAATTTATACACATTCTGTACATTTCCCTAATGTGTGCATTTTGGTGCTCATTGTCTAATAGGAACCATTTGGAAGCCATTTCCCTAATTTGATGCAAGTTTGAACCTTAATTTGACTAAAATACATATTTTTCTGTTTGCTTTCATCTCACATACACTTTTTGTATGGCTTTTTTGAATTGAATTGCCCCACTGCACCACCTGTAGCAGTGCAGATCACAAAAGTTACTTGAGTTTTGATTTGCTCATCGGTTCAAAAGGGAGAAATCGGGCAAGTTCCTACTGAAGTCAGACCAGCATGAATTCCCCCCAGCCCTAGTTTCTGTAAAGAGCAGCCACCACTGCCCACCCCCTCCCTCTTGGTGGCAGCTGGGATTGGATCCTCTGGGCCCGCTGCCCGGTGTTGTGGTGCCCACAGGGGGTCAGGCAGGGGTACCTGCTCCTTGCCATTGACTCTCAGTTGCACATTTGTACATGGGAGCAGCAGGAAGTTAGAAGAAGGGATGAGAACAGCTAGGGGCACCCCAAGGACATGGCAACAGGTTTATTTGTATACTTGCTTTGTTTCCGTACCACCCAATTGCCAAAGCTCTCTGGGCAACTCACAGCAATGCGCAAAATATAGAATGCAGATACAAGAAAACACAGTATGAAATATAAATGCACAAAATGTAAAACAGTTTAAGAAGCTCAAATAATTTCATTAGGAAAATAGAGCTGTTAAAACAGTTGACCTGAGCCATCATGTGGCATTAAATGCCCAGGAGTTTCAGGCAGTTTTGATATGGCACCAACAAGATTACAATGTTGGTGCCAGCTAGGCTTCTGAGGAAAGATCATTCCATAATCAGGGGGCTACAGAAGAAAGGGGCCTATTCCATGTTGCAGTCCTTTGCCCCAGGGGTGACACTCAGAGGATGCCTTCAGATGCAGATTGTTGTGTCTGGGTAGATCCAGATCAGGAGAGTTAAGCAATACAAGTCTGGAGACCCAAGGCTTTGTAAGTTAAAGCTAGCACTTTGAGTCAAAGTCAGACACACAGAAACACACAGAGGCATTCTTTGCTAACAGGCTGGAATAGGTCTCATCTTTTCAGACCTTTTGGTCCCAGTTATTAATCTGGCTGCCACATTTTGCACAAGCCACCGTGTCTGAACTGCCTTGAAGGACAATCCCACACAAAGAATATTGCAGTAGTCTAACTTAGCTGCTACCAGAGCATACACAACTGAAATTACGTCGTCCCTCTCCAGATAGGGGCATAGTTGAATCATCAGCCAAAGTTGGTAAAAGGTAGTACATGCCAATGAAGCCTCAAGTTACTACGATCCCTGTCCTTTGTTTACTAAGATAGCTCCAGGAGGACACCAACATATGAATCTGCCCTTCAGTGGTAGAGCGACCTCAAGCAGGTTTAACAGCCCCCTGCCCTTTCTATCAGAAGTATCACCCACGAGCAGCATCTCCATCTCATCTGGACTGGGTTTCAGTTTATCAGCCCTCACCCAGCCCCTTGTCACAGCCATTTAGCAATCCATAGCCTCACCTGGTGGAAATGGAAGCGGAGCTAGAGCTGTGTGCCATCAGCATACTGACAGCAGCATACGCCAAAGCTCTGGATGACCCCATTCAGCCCATTCATGGAGAGGCTGAATAGCATGGGGATAAGATCACCCCAGGAAGGTCTCTTCCCTAGCATGTATTCTACTTTTTGCAGAAATTAAATGGCCACTTAAATTGGGGTGCAGGCCAGTTGGCATCCTGCCCTCCACAGGCTGAGTGACAGCAGGAGGTGGGTATGACCCTTGGCATCATTCAAATCCTGGGAAATGCAATATGCAGGTCCTGGCACACTGGCTGCCCCTGCTGGAGGAGGCCGGTGCACGGCAAAACTGCCACAGCTGAGCCAGCCTCTGGGGAGCACACCAGCCTCTGGTTTACTCCGGGACCTTTCATCCACTTGTCCACTGTTAATCCTGGGTACAGCCATTGCCCTCCCAAGGCCCACACTGGGGGAATGCAAGAACACTCAGCAGGCCAGACTGAGAACCACCATAGGCCAATTAGGCCTGTGGCCCAGAGGTTCCCGTCCAATTTGCTAGAAGCAAGGTATTTGAAATCGCACGGCACAACAATCCAAGCATGAGCTTTTCATTTGTCTTTCCCATCTGCAGGCTATGCTGGACCCCTAAAGGAAGTCCCGCCAGAGAAGTTCAACAGAACAGCCATCCCCAAAGGCTACCAGTCTCCGTGGCAGGAGTTCCTTAGCCACGAGGATTACCAGAGAGACAGGGAGAATGCTTTGCCTGAACCTGTCAGGAAAGTGGACACGATCAGCCTCAGGAGCTTCAACAGGTAACAGCTCATTCTGCTTTATATGGATTTGTTCTATTTTATTGTTTCACATGGCCGGCTCAGCACATCTTTTAATATACCAGGTCCCTTCTGTGGATATCAATGATGTGGAAAAAGGGAGAGACCATTTAAAAGCATATGTTTATTTTATACATGCAGAAACAAATGAAATAATGAAGATTTAAATGCATGAGAGTTCTATGTGTCCTTCAAAAGGCAAGATGCCAAAATCAATGTGACTTTGAATGGCTTTTAAAATAAAAAGGGTCACCTGGCTATTGATACTTTAGTGAAACACATGCACAAACGTAACAGACCCTGACAGCTTTTTTTTTTTTTTTTTAAGTACAAACTATTTTGGGATGTCGTGGTCTGGAGTGGAAGAGGCCACAGTGCTGAATGCTTTCCCTTCCTGCCTTCCCCCACTTCCACTGCCCCAAATCATTTCTCCAATTGGCCCTCAGTCACAGCCATAACTGCAAAATAGGCTGATCACAACACAATACCGCAACAGCACAAGTTTACACTAGTGGGTCCTCGTCTTTCCTTAGCCCATGGTAGGTCCCTGCACTTCGTTTTAAGGCTGAGCTGACTTAGCCTTGAAGGTAACGAAGTTAAAGTTAAGCCAGATTGGGTTCACTACTGCACCATTTGGCCTCCTGCAGACTGGGGCTACCTGGTGAATGCTGCAAGACTTACGTAGATTTATATCCCACTTTTTTCTTTTTTAAGAACTCAAAGCAGCTTACATCATTCTGCTCCTCCTGCTCTCAGTTTTATCCCCAAACAACAACCCTGTGAGATAGTTGGTGCTCAGAGTCTGGGACTGGCCTGCAATCACCCAGTTGGCTCCATGGCTGAGCAGGGATGAGGACCCAGAGCGGCTGAGTCCCAGACCACTCTGAAGCACTACACCACATTGGCTCTCTTTTTTCTCCCTAACACTTGGAATTGCATGCTTAATTAAGCAAATGTTTGGGTGGGTGGCTTATTCTAACCTGTTTTAATGACTCTCTAGTTGATGGATGTTTTTATTTTTATTTTTTGGTTTGTACAAGCTAAGGCTGTCTGTCTTGACAAGCCCTGCCAGTGCTGCCCACCCCAGGAAGTCAGGGAGGATGCTTAAGGGGTGATCATTCTGCAAGCCTCCTGATCCAGAATGAACTGCCAATGTTCGAAAAGTGTGCAAGTTTTTCAGCCAAGTTTTAAGTATCCTCTGTGTATATTTGGACAGATCTGGACTTGGTCCTACTCAGTGGATCCATTAAATCAGTTGGATTTTAGATAGTTATGATATAAACAATCCCTAACAACTCAAAAATCAAACTATCCTAACTTTGTTCAAAGAACCAACAATTTACGGTTGAAAACAGCTCCCAATTTTTATCTTAGAAACCCTAATGATTGATCTGGTGAGAACTGCCAAACATATTTTCACTATTGTTTTCATCAACAGCAGTTCTACAACTTCTAGGCTTCCATTTGCCTATCTATGGAATGTGCTCCCCAGAGAGGTCCGCCTGGCGCCGTCGTTATTTGTTTTTCGGCGTCAGGCGAAGACCCTTTTATTCAAATGTCATTTTAACTGCTAATAGTATTTATTTATTTTATTCTTTGGCCAGGGTGACTTATTTTATACTGTTAATTTATATTATTTTAATTGAAGTTATTTATGTTTGTGAGCCGCCCCGAGGCTTCGGCAAATGGGGCAGCATAGAAATCTTCTAAATGAATGAATGAATGAATGAATGTGTATATTTTCCAAGGGATGCTTACAGCTTCTTCATGCACAAGACAATGTTATATAATGGTTAGAGTGACCAGGACTGAGAAGATCTGGGTTTTGGTCTCCACTTGGGCATGAAGCTCACTGTGTGACCTTGTACCAGTCACAGGCTCACAGCCTACCCTGCCCTGCCTGGTTGTTGTGAGGATAAAATGGAAATGGAAGATTATGTAAGCCACTTTCAGGAAAAGAGGCAGGATGTCTATATGATGAATAAATAAATTGTAAAAGCCCCAGGGAACTAAGGCTCAACATCTCAGGCAATGCGGCTATTTTGGGATAACAGAGGCTGCAGAGTTGTAGGACTTTGTCTGGCACCAGAAAAAAGAACCACATGAAGCATGAACCACACTTGTGAATTGTACCCTGGGTGAGTTTTGGTGAAATGCAAGCACATGCAAAAATGTGCTGTAACTTCCTGGCCAGATTGTCTGCGAACAGACTAGCACAGCACGGGAAAGAATGTTTCTTTGTGGCCCACTTGGAATAACGGAAAACAGCACTGACCGTCACCTGCTGTGCCACATGTCCGAGGCAGCATCTCGTCCTCCTAAGGTTGAACATGCGCTTTGTTCTGCAAACACATCACAGCAATCTCCCTCTGGTTGCAGGACTCCAACCCCATTTGGTGGACTGTTACTGAATGATGTGTTCCTCGGGTTCCCTGACATGGCTGAGGCTCAGACAGATGCCATGAACAGCCTGGAGATCCTTTCAAGAAGGCCGAACTTTAACAGAGCACCCCGGGGCTGGATACTGGTCATGCCAGAATCAGAGGATCTGTAACCAGATGCTGCTGCTGCTGCTTTCTTCCCAAAGCCAATGCATGCTACTTTCCCAATTTACCAATATATATTGGCCAGAATGGGGATCCCTTTAGCATAGAATATCCTAATAGTAGCTTTTGCTTATTTCTCACCATTATGTATGCTGTTCCCTTGTCTAGGGCAATTACTGTACTCTTCAGCCATGCAACTATAGCATGCCTTTCACTTCAGACTAGGACATCACTTTTCAAAGGTGACTACAGGTGATGTGAGACCAGCCAGGTCTAAAACAGCAAAAAGCTGAAGTGCCAGGTGGAGTTACTTACGAGTAGTTCAGAAAGAAAGAAATTAGCCCCATCGATCACAAACAACTTTCGATAGCCCATGTTGCTGTGATAGCTTTACGAGGCCAACCAGAACAATCATTAGGCAATATTACAAAGAGCAGGTGCTGCAAGGGAGCAACTGCATGGCAAAAATCCTCCCTCCACATGCTGTCCCCAGCCTGCCTTTTATCCCATCTGGCCTGATAAATAAGTTCTGGAGAACTTGAGTGCTTGCACAATATTTTTGGCTGACCGTATTATGGCAACAGGGGTTTTGGAAATTTGGCTCTTTAAAGGAATGCAAAGTGTTTAGGAAAGTGATCTGAGAAGCAACAGTTTTGGCTGGGGCAGTATGGAAATGTCACAAATAATAAGCTAGTGGAAGTTCAAAGAAATTGTATTTTGTGCACAAAGAAAGAAAGGAATAGCAGGTCAAGTTTGGATATCTCATTTGTATCCAAAGCTAGTCCAGAATTTTCTGAAAAATAAAAGGAAAGTAAGATGTTGTAAGAGAAAGCAACAAAGAAAATGTTTCTTTAGCATTTAAGTAATATCTATCCATTTTTACAGCTGTCTTGTCCTGTAAGCTGCTTCTGGAACATTAGTCTTAATATCCCAATCAGGTCAAGGTCCAGTTTTGGGTAAGAGTGGAAGGAGCCATAAGGCCCTAAGGTAGACAGTTCAGGGTGTCAGGATACAAGTGATATGATAACACAACCATGGTGCTAAATGAACTAGTGAGCAGTGCTAAAAGGGCCAGTGCAGCCATTGTCTCATACCTTCATTTGTTCTTACAGAAAGGAATGTGCAGCAATGTTCTAACTAATTAGTTTTTCTTAAATTATATGTAGTAGCATGTGTAAAGAAAGGGGGAATCCATTATGATATTGACTTTCTGAAGACAGAATTTTAGGATTATAGGGCTGAGAAATAGATTCAGTAGGAAAGGTGGGCAGGGACAGAAAAGTTTCAGTGTGAATTATTCCCACATAATAAGCTCCAGGGCTGCAGCTTTGATCTTCCTAACCCAGACACTGGGAATAAACTGGAGGGAAAGGATCACCAGATCATAGTCCTGTTACTAGTACTGTTCCTCACATGTCCCAGATCTGGCCAGAGTAAGAAACACTGGTCCAACCAAATTGTCCTGCTATGTATGTGTATGTAGATATTATCTGATACAGACTGACCAAGGTGAAGCAGCCTTGGAATAAAACAGTATGCACCAGAACCAATAAGGGGGCTTATTTAAATATTCATTTTCTCTAATTGACAGTGCTGCTTATTCATGTTGTTTATCCAGCTTTCTAGAATTATTTTGTGTATAATTAAGTTATTGGGATTTAACAGTCATTAAACTATGCCATTTTTCTTAGACATGTTAACCATAACATTTAGCCATAAAAAGTACGCTTTAAAAGGAATTCAATAGTTGATTTTTATCAAAGGGAAACTTAATAGTTGTTCAGAACACTCATGTCTAGAAGTTTCATTCCAACTCCAAATGGGAAATCAAACAAGAAGGGATAGCAGTTTCTCATCTGTTACAAAATTATTGTTAACAAGAATTCCAGCCCAATTCCAGACTTGTGAACAGGAAGTCATGTTTACATTTAAAAATATACAACGAGGGAAATAAAATGAATTGTATTTTTAAATGCATCTTTCTTGGTTATTTGATAAACAAATGTCAGTCCTTTCAAAATAAAAACCAGAAATCTACTTGTGAAGATAAATCTAATGAGGGAAAATTATCCCTGTCTCATAGAAGCAAACATGTTTTGTGGTGCATAAACAGAACACTGTGCCAGCCGTTCTTGTAAGCGGAGATGGTTGTAGGGGATGGTGGGACAGAAAAGCTTTTAACGAACGAACACACACACACACGGCTGACTGGCTGGCTGGGAAAAACTGGGAGCTGGGGGACTTTTCTTTTTTCTAAAAATGCATATGATAGTATGTTCATTATATCTTAAGTGGTAGCTTTCATAACATGCCACAGTTGTCTTAAGATGTCACAAAAGAGCTTTGTTGCATTTTTAACACAGCTTCTCCTTTTGGAACTCATACCTCACAGGATTCCAGGTATGACTAAATGCCACCAGCTTTGCGGACGAGACCCACACCCCAATGCATTGCTTGAATGCTGATATTAGAGATTTCAGGCAAGTGCAAACTAGCCAAGGGCAACTTCTGTGGGTATTATTGTTTTTTCCGTGCAGGGCACAACGTATTTTATTACTCTAAAGGGACTTAAATGTGGGTGGTTTGACAGTACCAGTTTGCATTCCCCACAGCTTATAGCAACCTAAAGTGCAACAGGATCAGACTAAGAGGCAAAACTGCAGTAGTGTTATCTGATCCTTTAATAATTAACCAAGGTTTCTAGGATGCAATTCTGAATTTTAGTAGATATTCACATCTGGCATCATTGTAGAACATTTCAAAGCCTCTAAATAAGGACTGGCCAAGTTTGAAACATGTTATTTCATGAAGTGGTGGACCAAGGGACCAAGAGAGGTACATAAAGGTGTTTCTCACTTCTGTATCCCATCATTTCAGAAAATAAGGAAAAGTAAACAAAGTTCAGTCTGCTGCCACTGGAAGCAAGGTTTAGGTCTCAGTGAAAGAATCTGCTATGTAATATTTTATTTTCATTTAAAAAACCCCCACCAGTTAATAAGACATCAGAATAGGTAAAAAATATGATTCTCTTTACTAGGACACATTACAGACTTGATGCAGAAAACAGATGGTACAGAGTAAATACCGAGAACACAGACTTAGAACAGCCATTGGTAATCAAATGCTAGGTGAGGAAATAAACCGGACTAGTTTTAGTAGCAAATGGATATGAAGGCCACGTACGCCACAATTCAGAGTCACCAACCTCTTTAACAGAGGATTAACAAACATGCAGAACTGCTGCCTCAACATTCTGGTAGCATGTATCACAAACAGATTGTGAATGGCAAGAAACAGCATTAATGCAAAGTGTCACTCCACCTGCTCATCTTCATACTAGTTTTCTGTCGTCTTTCCATCCCAACTCAGTGCAAGGAGGAACGTGAATCTAGTTTTAATGGCAGTACAGTAATCTGACATTCAAACAGATTAGCAGGAAAGGAACTTTGAGCAAGGAGCTATTCTGAACAAAGCTTGGTGATTTTTATTGATGGGGATTACCAAACTGGCTTAAAAATAATTATTTTTTGTTAAAAGACTAGTTTCAGGTGTGCAAAATTGAATACACTGATGGGATTTGCAGTTCTAATACAATTAACATTCCTCTATCTCACTTCTGTTTCCTTTTAAGCAGAAGCCACCTTTTTAAACTCAGTAATAAAAGTATTTTGGTTCTAGAAATGATACGACTTCTAGTTGTGTAACACAGTGGGACTAGGCCTGTGCTGTGTACAGGAAAAGGGAGGCTGAGTTTCCCGCTCATTACAACTGAATGTGGTATGCTACCAACATAACTTTCCATTTAAAAAAAGAGAAAATTAAACAGTAAGAATGACCCAGCCATGTTAGGGGCTGTTGTGCTTCCCTGCATGGGCACCCATCCTCTGTGGATCTTGTGAAGGGTAATGAATGGGACCGGGGGCTCTCATGAAAGGAGGTGGAGGACCCATTGCGTGAAACATGTGCGGCCCAAATCCTGCAGGGAGAAAAAAAGACATTTTCACACCTGATCAAAACTCACAAAATTCTTTTAACTAAGGACTTCATTCAAGCTTTTTCTTGGTAACATTTTATTTGATTTAGGGTATAATCCTGTCTTCCTAGGCAGAAAACAGTCTTGCATCTCCCAGCATGACCCAGTCAGCCAGGAGCTATAGGTCCTTTTTTCCTGTCTAAACAGGGATAGGATTGCCTTCATTATCTCATTTTTGCTTGCAAGTTTAATTATACATTCAATGCATTACCGGTAAATGTTTTTCTTTTAAATACACAGAAGAACTGCAAGTGAAGAGTAAGCCCTGTGCATTCGGCAATTATTCGGCAATTCCCACTCAACTTATTTCCTAGTACTGGCATTCTGGATTGGGCTACAGTTATTTCAGAGAAAAACACGTTGTTTCTACAGTTCTCATCACTCAGCAATTCTCCCTCTGTCTTACTCAGGACATAGCTAACTCTTGGGCATGACAAAGCTGAGCTGAAGTATGAAAGCTTTTTAGCAACATGGGCTAAAAATCCCTGGAATGAACATGTGTTTTTCTTCAGGAATACACATTTGCAAGACTTGAGAGATGGAGTTAAGCAACCTAGTGTGCTCCAGCTGTTTGGATCACAATTTCCAAAAGCTTCAGTAAACATGGCCAATGATCAGGTATTAAGTATAATTCAAAACATCTGGAGAATGGCAGGTTGCTATCCCTAAACTAAGCAACAGAATATACATTCATGGATGCAAGAACAAGACAATTTGGCACCTGTTTCTCCAGAAGGAAAGACAATTACCTGGAGGTGGTGGTGGAGCAATGCCAGGTGGCGGCGGCAGGGCAATGTTTACTACCGCTGGAGGGCCACTGGGAGGTAGGTTGAAGTAGTTTGCAGAAGCTGCCTCCTCTTCTGCCACAGGAGGAGGAGGAAGAGCTGCAGGACACAAAATTCACGAGACAGAAAAACATTCAGCAAGCAATACACACACAAGAACAATGAAAGAAATTCCTCTATTATGCAAGGCACCTCATTCTGAATCAGATGGTTTATTTTACCAAGGACTAGTTCATTCTGTTTCAAATAGCACTAATGACCCAGGTCTTAAAGTATGTGTTTTCTTCCCTTCCAATAACTGGTTCACTTGATTCACAAACTTCCTTCCAGGCAACACTTTCACTTCTGTCCCTAAATTTTGCAGTTTCCAGTAGAGGTGGGCAAACCAACAGAACTTCGGGTCACTGAGGTTCTTCAACTTCCACTTTGAAAGTTGCTTCAACATATGTCCGTATCAGACTTTTAGCTTTAACACAAAAATTCATGTGTGTTTTCATGTGCATTTTCCCAAATATATACATTGTGTTCATTTTTTTTAAAAGCATACATTTTCCACCAAATGGTTGAAGTGTTTTTGAATGTTTTCACACATGTGAACATGTTTTCTAACATACACCTTTTTAACTACTTTTTTGTTCCACAAATCACACTGCGCACTTGGAAAAATATGGACTTCAGTCATAAATTGCATTCAGTTCTGGGAGATACAAACTGGGTAAATTCTGGTAAAAAATGAACTAAAACTAATTCCTCATACATCTCTAGCCATGCCAATCTCTAGCCATGCCAATTCAAAACACAGTTTCCTTAACTTTTCTGGTTAGTGCCCATATCTCGTTCTCTAACACAAAAGAATAGTACTTTACCTGCTGCACTTTTAAAAAATGTTACAAATGTCTCTGAATGAGCATTTTTCTTACCGCCAGGTAGTCCAGGGACTGGCTCCAGTTTTATACCAGATTCTGTTGTCCCTTCTCTTTCCTTCTCTTTCCCCCTGGCTGCTTGAGACCTGAAACCCAACAAAAGGCACTGGAACTATTCTCAAGTAGATAGTTAGAAAAACACTGGATCCCAAAGCCAAATATTCAGTGTTACTAAGTATTTTCAAGAGGGAAAATAAAAAATGGGTCTTCTGAGAAAGCAGAGCAAATGCCCTGCTTACTAATAGTTGTGTACATCGACAGTTTTTCTAGATACGCTCAACACCAGCCAGCTCACTTCTTAAGACAGCCAGTGAAAGAGCAGAGTCACTCTCTCAAGAGTGCTCAAAGCTGTATGACATGCTGTGCACGCTGGAACTAACGTGAAAGCCCAACCCTGGGTGCTGCCAGCTGAGTGCAGAAACTCCAACCCTTGTGTCCAGAAAAGCCTCTAAAGGAAAAATGCATGCTGCCACAAGCCCTTTTCTTCTGCACCACTCACCTGCCCCATTTCACATTAAGCCTGCGGCCATTGACAATAAGCTTGTTGAAGGACTTCTCCGCTGCTACCTCTGCAGCTTGCCGTGTTGCAAACTGGATGAATGCACACTGCTGCCTTTGCACCACAGTTATCGTCCTGATCTCGCCAAACTGATAGAAGTGATTCCTGAGGAGATAATATAGTCCATGTTTCGCATTACTGAGGCCAAAACAAGTCAAATTCTAACAATGAAACAAAATCAGTTTGGAAGACAGCAACCTCCCTCTCTTTGTATGAGAGATGCAAAGCCTGTTGCCAAATAGGCAACTAGTTAATTAACAACAGCAGATGGGAAATGGATCTTTGATAAATAGAGCACCCTAATAATGGGATCTCCTTCATGAATCACTGCCTTGTCGTGGTGAATGGGCTTGCGTAGCTCAATGAAGCTATGAGCTATGCCGTGCAGGGCCACCCAAGATGGACAGGTCATAGCAGAGAGCTCTGACAAAACGTGATCCACTGGAGAAGGAAATGGCAACCCACTCCAGTATATTTGCCATGAAAACCCCATGGACAGTACCAAAAGGCAAAAAGATATGACGCCAGAAGATGAGCCCCTCAGGTCGGAAGGTGTCCAATATGCTACTGGGGAAGAGCAGAGGGCTAGTACTAGTAGCGCCAGAAAGAATGAAGTGACTGGGTCAAAGCTGAAAGGACACTCGGTTGCCGATGTATCTGGTGGTGAAAGGAGAGTCTGATGCTGTAAAGAGCTATACTCCATAGGAACCTGGAATGTAAGATGTGGCCAAACAAGAGATGACAAGACTGAACATCAACATCTTAGGCATCAGTGAACTAAAATGGACAGGAATGGATGAATTTAATTCAGATGACCATCAGATATACTACTGCAGGCAAGAATCCCTCAGAAGAAATGGAGTAGCCTTCATAGTCAATAAAAGAGTTGGAAAAGCAGTGCTGGGATACAATCTCCAAAATGACAGAATGATCTCAGTTCGAATCCAAGGCAAACCATTCAACATCACAGTAGTCCAAGTCTATGCCCCAACCACTGGTATTGAAGAGGCTGAACGGTTCTATGAAGGCCTACAACACCTTTTAGAATTAACACCAAAACATGATGTCCTTATCATCATGGGGGATTGGAATGCTAAAGTAGGAAGCCAAAAGCTAATGGGAATAACAGGCAAGTTTGGCCTTGGAGCACAAAATGAAGGAGGGCGCAGGCTGGTAGAATTTTGTCAAGAGAATACGATGGTCATAGCAAACACTCTTTTCCAACAACCCAAGAAACGACTCTACAGATGGACATCACCAGACGGTCAACACAGAAATCAGATTGACTATGTGCTCTGCAGCCAAAGATGGAGAAGCTCTATACAGTCAGTAAAAACTAGACCAGGAGCTGACTGTGGCTCAGATCATGAGCTTCTGGTTGCAAAATTTAGGCTTAAGTTGAAGAAAGTAGGGAAAAGCACTAGGCCACTCAGGTATGACCTAAATCATATCCCTGATGAATATACAGTAGAGGTGACAAATAGATTTAAGGAATTAGATCTGATAGACAGAGTGCCTGAAGAACTATGGATGGAGGTTCGCTACATTGTACAAGAGGTGGCAACTAAAACCGTCCCAAAGACACCCAACTGAATGCAGAATTCCAGAGAATAGCTAGAAGAGATAAGCTCTGGCCTCTTGGCAGAGCGGCAGAGGCAGAGGCTGGGAGAGAGCGCTGAGTGACCAGGGGACTGGCGAAGGCAAGGTAGGAGCTGGGCAGCAGAGCAAAGGGCCAGGAACAGCGGAGAGGAAGGGGGCGGGGCCAGAGGGGCCAGGAGGGAGCAGAGGGGTGGGGCGTCATCCCTTGTCTGCGTCCCTTGGCTGCGGCCCAGGCTGTCCGGAGACTCCCTTCCCTGAGACACAGGGGTTTGATTGTTTGTTCGGTTTGTGCTGTGCTGTGCTTTGTTTTTCTTCCAATTTAAATTTATTTTATCCTTGTGTGTGTGTGTGTGTGTGCGAGTGGGTTTTCGTCTGGGAGAACTGGGCGAGTGAGAGGAACTGCAGGACTAACAAGGCAGGGGACCAAGGTAAGGTCTCGGAAGGGATACCGATGGCAGACCAGGAGATGGCCTTGGCAGGAGTCATGGCTGTTGCTGTCCGCTGTGACAGCTGCGACATGTTTGCCCTTCTCCCCCAGGAGAGGCAGGGATACACTTGCCCTCGGTGCAAAATGGTGACCCTGCTAGAAGAGGGGGTGAGGTGCCTGAGGGTTGAGAGAGCTCTCCAGGCCCCCCTGGAGCAGCCCCCCTCTGGACAGAGGGTTGAGGGAGAGGCCATGGGAGGAGCAGCTGCGGAGACATGGAGGTATATCACCCACAGGAGGAGGAGGCCAGCACGGCCTCCTCCTTCTCCTGGCACCAATCTGGAGCTGGGAAACAGGTTCTCTCCACTTGGGGAGGCTGGGGCTGATGAGGCCTCGGGGGACCAGCAGGACCCCCAGCCTGATACGTCAGGCGGCAAGGGGGTCGCTGCAGAAGAGGCGAGGGCCAGGGCACAGCCACCCACCAGCACCGGAAAGGTACGGCGGTGGGTGATTGTTGTTGGGGACTCCCTGCTGAGGGGCACTGAGCTGGCGGTGTGTCGCTCCAACCTGGAGACAAGGGAGGTTTGCTGCCTGCCAGGCGCACGCATCTGGCATGTGATGGTCAGAGTGGAGCGTCTTGTTCGCTCCGGGGGTCACCAGCTGCTCCTGGTGATCCATGTGGGCACAAATGATGTGGCCAGGCAGGGTGTGGTTGGGACCTCCAGGGACTTTGAGGCCTTGGGGAAGAAACTCAAGGAGCTGAAGGCCCAAGTGGCCTTCTCGTCAATCTTACCTGTCCGGGGATTTGGGCCAGGAAGGGACAGGAGGGCTTCCAAGGTGAACGACTGGCTTAGGGTGTGGTGCCAGAAGGAACGCTTCGGGTTCCTCGACCACGGCACTCGTTTTCTTGCCAATGGACTTCTGGCAAGGGACGGGTTACACCTCACGAGGATGGGGAAAAGGTTCTTTGGAAATGCTCTAGTGAGCTTCATCCGTAAGACTTTAAACTGAGCCGGGGGGGGGGGTTTCAGGCCCCCCAGTAACATGTCTGCACTGGACAAGTGTGGGGGGAGGATCAGGGCTCTGGGAGCAGGGTTTTAGAGATACTGCAGGGACTGACAGGACTCCTACAGAGAGGGGCCAGGTATTAGGGAGGATGGGAGGAAGGAGGAGGCTGGGAACTCCAAGGAAAGGAAGCGGTGGGAAGGAGTTGAGGTGCATGTACACCAATGCTAGGAGCATGGGTAATAAGCAGGAAGAGCTTGAAGCTCTCCTGGGAATAGGAGGGTATGATCTGAAGGGAATCACAGAAACTTGGTGGGATGAAAGGCAAGTCTGGAATGTGAACATACAAGGGTATCACCTTTTTAGAAAGGACAGGAAGGGAAAGAGAGGTGGGGGCGTGGCTTTATATGCCAGGGAAGGGATAGGATGCAATGAGACAGAATGCAGCACAGATGGGGATTCGGTAGAAGCAGTCTGGGTGAAACTTAGGGGTTTTGACAGGGAATGAGACCTGACAGTGGGGGTATGTTATCACCCTCCACGTCAACTTGAGACCCTGGATGATGTCCTGACAGGTCAGATTCTAAGGATATCTCGGGGGAGAGACACAGTAATTATGGGAGATTTCAATCTCCCAGATATTACTTGGGAGACTCACTCAGCAGTGACAGCCAGGTCACGTCACTTCCTAGAAGCTACTGAGGGAGCGTTTTTCACACAGAGGGTCCGAGAGGCGACGAGGGGGGGAAACATCCTTGACTTGGTCTTGACCAATAGGGAGGAGCTGATAGATGAAGTACAGATTAGGGGAGCTTTGGATGCAAGTGATCACTCCATCCTTTGCTTTGAGATCAGGGGACTGCGGAAGGGCAGCAGGTTGAGCACTAGAAGCTGGGACTTCAAGAGGGCCAACTTTGGCCAACTGAAGGCCAGACAGGGGAAAGTCTCCTGGGATAGGTTACTAGAAGGTAAGCGAATTGAGGAGGGGTGGATAGCACTCAAAAGGGAGGTTTTGGAGGCGTAAGCCTTGACGATACCTCTAGTCAGTAAGGTGGGGAGGCGGAGGAGAGTGCCGCCATGGATGCAAAAGGAGGTGGTTAGAGGGATTAGATGAAAGAGGAACCACCCTAGGAAATGGGTACTGGGGGAAATAGACAAAAGGATATACTGGGAGGAGGAGGCCCGTTGCAGAAGGATTCTTCGCAAGGCTAAGGCTGATTACAAGCTGAGACTTGCCAAGAATATCAAGAGCAATAAAAAGGGCTTCTTTCAGCATGTAAATAGGAAGAGGAAGGGGAGACAAGTGGTGGGACCACTAAATAAGGAGGAAGGAGATCCAGTGACTGATATGAGGAA